TCTACGTGCTATAGGTAGGCTCTATGCTGGTCAGTCTGTGGTCACTGTTGCAAGAGCCTTTAATTGTTCATGCCAGACAATAATTAATTTTAGAATGAGAGTGCTTCAAACTGGAACTATTGCCGACCGCCCAAGGGCGGGAGCGCCACGTGTGACGTCACTCCAGGAAGATCAAGCAATACGATTACGTCATCTTAGAAACAGATTTGTCACTGCAACAATTTTGCAACCTGTTCTTCTTCCGTTTATGCAGAGACATGGACCTGGACTAACGTTTCAACAAGACAATGCTCGACCCCATACAGCAATTGCTACCCAGAATTTTTTAAGAAATGCCGGTGTCCAAGTCCTGGATTGGCCGTCGCTTAGCCCCGACCTTAATCCTATTGAACACATCTGGGACGAACTGGGTCGATGTGTTCGTCAGCAAGTGAATCCACCACTGACGTTGCAGGACCTTCAACATGCTCTTGCTGAGCAGTGGCGACATCGTCCTCGGGTAGTGTTTACTAATGTTCTGAGATCCATGAGAAGAGGTTGTGTGGCAGTAGGAGACGCTAGAGGAGGCCACAACCGTTACTAAACACTTTATTCCGATTGTTCTCCAAGTCTGTGAATTTCATTTTGGGGGGTACTGTGACATCACGAACGTTATCAATGTCAAGGACTTTCGGCAAGACTTATTCTTGCTTTCTGTTCAGTATATTAGTTTAGTTTCAAATACCAGTTTTAAAGAACTGTACATGTAACAGTTTTCTGGGTTTTTTTAAAATCGTTCTCTAAAATTTCATTTACATGTAAATCAAGGTTTGACGAACATTTTTAAAGAAAACTTATATTTTGTTCTTGGAATGTTTTTGTACATTTGGTTCCATTTTTTAAAAACATTCTAAAATATTGGTATTATTTTGCTCTCTCAGGCAATTGGGTATAAGCGTCTAAAGTTAGACCATCCCATGGGGTAACTTTAGCCCTCCATTTATCCCCATCTCCACACCAGGACACTACATATAACATAACATTTAAGGACAATATTGATGTTAGTCATTATCACATTTGTGACAGAACTGATTAAACACGTTCTTAATATAATTTTAACACAGAGATCATTGCTACGATAGATGCGTTATGAAGGTTTCAACAATCGGAAGTGACGAACGCAAAAGGAAAACACGAGTTATCCCTCTATATAACTGACTGAAGTGACGAGTGATAACAGATTGGCCTACACGGGCGAATTTCTGCTCACTAATAATTCCTTCCTAAATGTTGTTAATTGATTACCGAAACGTATCACAAATACTTTTTTTTATTTTCTAAAATTATTGGTGGGGGGGGGGGCAAACAGAGGACAGATCAGATTAATGGGGGGGGGGCAAACAGAGGACAGATCAGATTAATGGGGGGGCAAATGCCCCCCTGCCCATCACCCCCCCCCCCCCTGGCGCCGCCACTGCATATAATCCGACTGAATCTTTATATTTTATGTAATTATTTATTGAATAGATATTGTTAGAAAAAAAATTACATACCATACTCTAAAACTGCTCGTTTTAGTCAACAGAATTGCGAAATCGTTGTGCATTATTGAGTGCTATCCTGTGCAGGGAGAAGGCTGTTCCTATTCATTGATTCTGTCGCACTATTTTCACCAAAGTGAATTTTAGCTGTTTTGGTTTATGGTCATCACGGCCACATCCTAAAAATAAATATCAGGACTATTTATTACCAGACTAGGCTACAGCGGCGTATTGATGTTTTCAATATTTACATTCATGAATGGCACTGGTTTGCCGAAGATGTGCAAACAAAGAAATCGTCCCCTGAGAGGGAAAAGGTCGTAAGTGACATTTTTCACTTTTCGAGAAAATCGAGTTTAAAGGTTTGAAAATGGTCCTGTAAAATTGTTTATTTATTGTTTTTTCTAATATTTTGTACAGTATGTTATGATTGGGAATAGCTAGAAATGCAATATAAAGTTTTCAGTTATCAGGTGTGGTAACTCGGAAAAGTCACTTACGACCTTTTTCTACTCTCTACCTATAACCAAAGATACATACTTATTGCTGTTTACGACCTTATGTGATTTTGCCATGGGGTGGAAGTTATATTGGTCTTACGGGTACGCTTTGGATCTTAAGGTCTGTATTGAGTTAAGTGGCATGGTTAACAGTATGGTAGCCTGCTCAACCTCGTTGGGTTTTCTCCGACTTTCTATCATTGACACAGACCCCTACGCGCAAGCAAATTATTGAAGTAAAATTATGGCCTAGATTGTGTTCAGTGGATGTTATACCCCTCTCTAACCCCAGGCCCCTCTTCCCTCTATCCCTCACGCTATCTTGATACCTTTCTCTGGCTCTCGCGCGCACCCTCCCTGTCAAGCCTCACGGTATCGTACAACCTTCTCTCTATCTCACTCTCTTCACCTCTCTATCTCGCCCACTTGTTATCTCGCTCTAGTCCCCACTCTCCCTTGCTGTGCCCCCCCCCCCCCTCCTGCTCTCCATTCTCTATCGCTACTCCCTACCCTTGCTAGCTCCCTCCCTACCACCCTCAGCCTTTAGCTCATTCTCTCTCTCGATCTCTTCTATCCTTCTCACAGTAGATTGATAGTATCATCACATCGCAGGCTTATCACTATCTCTAACCCCCCACCCCCTCCGCCCCTCACCCACTAGATTGCTCTCCTCATATCGATAGTTCTCTTTAGACCCCGCCCCATCTCTCCATCTCTAGCTCTCGCCTTCTATCTCGCTATCTTCCTAGGTCTCTATCTCACGCGCTCTAGCTTTCTCTCTAGCTCACGCCCTCTCTCCCGATCTTTCTTGCTCTTTCTCTAGTTCTTTATCTTGTGGATTCTCTCTCTTTCTATCTCTCTCTAATAGTCTAAGCTTACTCTCTAGCTCTCGCCCTTCTCTCTAGCTTGTTCTCCCTCGAGGTCAAGCTCTCCCTCACCTCTTTCTTTTGCGAGCTAACTCCCTACCCCCCACCCCCGCCCTTCTCTCTCTCTCTCTTCTCGAGGGACAAGTCTCATCCCTTGGCAGCCAACTCTCTAGCGCTTTTTGACCTCCCCACTCGCCCTCTAGCTATCTCTCTCCCTCTAGCCCCCTCCCCCCCTTACCGATAACTCTCTTAAGTCCCTCCCTCACTAGCCCATTCTTTAGCTGTCACTTTCCGTGTAGCTATCTCTCTAGGTCTCTCTCTATCTTACGCTCTCTAGCTCTCACCATCTCTCTCTTTCTCTAGCTCTTTCCATTTTGTTTCTTATCTTTCTCAGGGTGTGTGTGTGTGGGGGGGGGGGGGGGTGGATGGCCGAACGGTTAGCATGTGCGCGCTGTATCATAAGGGCTGTCACTGAAACAACTGGCGTAATTTCGATTCCCCGGTTGTACGTGACAAGGAGTATGATTGTCTGTCCAACCTCGTGGGTTTTCCCCGGGTCCTCCGGTTTCCCCACTGATAAAAGACCCCTACGCGCAAGCGAATTATTGAAGTAAAATTGAACCAAGTGGACGTTAATCCCCATCTCTCTCTCTCTCTACTCTTAAGCTCGCTCTCTAGCTCTTGTCCTCTCACTATAGCCCTCGTCCTCTCTAGTTCGCTCTCTCTAGCCTTCGCTCCCGCTAGCTCTCTGTCCCTAGCCCGCTTCTCTAGCTACCCCCCCATCTCCCTCTCTATAGCCCTGTCTCTCTAAGTTACAATGTGGATCTCTCTTTCTCGCTCTCAGCCCCCACCCCCTCTCTCTCTCTCTACTCCACTCTTAAGCTCGCTCTCTAGCCCTCGTCCTCTCTAGTTCGCTCTCTCTAGCCCTCACTCCCGCTAGTTCTCTGTCCCTAGCCCACCTCTTTAACTACCCCCCCCCCCCCTCTCTAGCTCTCTATAGCCCTATCTTTAAGTTACAATGTGGATCTCTCTTACTCTCTTTCAGACCCCCCACCCATCGCTCCTTCTCTCTCTCTCTCTCTCTCTCTCAAGGGGCGTCTCATTGCATCACAACCCTCTCTCTATCCCTCTCTAGTTCCCATTCGCTCTAGTGTGTACGCATACCGCATACCGTACTACAGTCCATTGAAACGGCGAACGTGGGGTATTAAAAGCGTCTCTTACATGCAGTATCGCAAAAAGGCCCCCCTACAGCCCCGTTCTTTGTGTAGTCTACTGTGAAAAAAAAAACACAACACAATTTATATCGAAAAAACAATCACTGTTTTGTAGACATATAGCACGACGTTTCGACAAGTATCCCCTTATTGTTATCAAGCACAAAACGACAACAATAAGAGGATACTTGTCGAAACGTCGTGCTATGTGTGTACAGACCAGTGATTATTTTTTCCATATAAATTGTATTGTGTTTTTTAATGTGCCCAATCCCTAAATGTCACTCAAGGATTAAAGTCTACTGCGGGTTGATCAATTTTAAACACTACTATCGCAAAATGAAATGTACACAGGCTTTTGTGGGAAAGCCAGAAAGAAGTTTGCCAGAAAGAAGTTGCTACTGCACATATTTAAATGTCACTTACGACCTTGTTACACTGCCATCAGTGTACTTACTACCTTTCTCCGGTGACATCTTGGTAAAGTTTTCCACTTACTACCTAATATTAATTACCCATATTGTAGTTTGTATCATTGCAATTGTCACCATTGTTTGTTATAACCTGGAGGGGTCAATTTATAAAGTTTTGGTGCAAAAATATCAAATTTGCCTGTTTTGTCACTTGCGACCTTTTACCTCTCAGGGGACGAAATACGCGGCCGCATTTATTATGTAATTTTGGAATGTTGGTCCGTGTCTTTAGTGTGACTTTTTTTTTTTAAAAAAAAAGAACATTTTAACTTAAAAGATTGAAATATATTTGTGCCTGTGCAATAGGCTAGTATTTCGTGCTTCTCGAAAACTCCATGTATTTATGTTTAGCCTTTGGTCTTTTCTGGCTTCCGTATATTTTCATTGACCTCTTTACGATTCGCCATAAGATGTCGCTGTGAGACCATTTCAACCAATCATTTGTCAAAGTGAGCACGAGGCTTTTGCGTCTCTTCCCTTACAAGCCGCCATTTTGTTCTCGATGGATCAAGCAGGAGGTGCAGGAAACGCTTACGCTGATGCCCTTGCACGTGCACGACAGGTATAATTTTATTAACCAATCACAATTTAAGTTGCGGAAACATATATGTGCCTTCTTAGTCGATTTATTGTTGCTCGAAAGGCCTTTGTAAAGAATTGCTGCTTAAAAACCACGCGGTCGGTGCACAGTCCGAACAAAATTTAATTTGTGGCTATTTTTCATGCAGAACAAAAACCAACCTTGTCTTGTCTGAGTAAAATTTGCTAGAAGAAAGTGTATGTCATTCTTTATGTTTTGCAAGGGGAGTAGCTTTTAAAATAAGTTATTTGGCGAAGAAAATCGATTCTTCAGCTTGAGAGTAAGACTGTTCTCGTTCATGTCGGCTATCTTAATCTACCTAGACATGTTGATGTTCTGGCCATGCTGGCTGGTCTCCGTGCACGTGTCCGTGTGATATAGAACTCGATTATCAGGACTTCCCAATTAGCCAGGTTTTATTGTTGAAATGTTCGATTCCGGAATGTTTTGCTTGGTATTCACAATTATATCTTGGTGCATGTAGCATTACAAATCAAGCCTTTGTTCAGTTGTTGTCGGCCCCCCCCCCCAGCAGTTGTACACTTGACTTACAGGAAGTAGGTTCACCCATTCAACCTGGGGTTTTCTCCATGTTCTCCAGTTTTCTCCCACTGCCAAAGACTCTTACACTCAAGTGAGTTATTGAAATAAAAAAGTAGGCCTACCATTTTAGTCCCAAAATGAATCCCACTGTTCTCTCTTTCCAGTATTTTTCCTTGTCAATAATAGGCTAGTGTGGCCCGGACACATCAAAATTGACATTATTTTATATCAAAGTTCAACTAGAGGTGTGTATATGGTATGAGGGGCATATTCCTCAAGCAATGGCCCGAGAGAATGCATGACCACTCTGGCCAAAGACCACTTGGACCAATTGATAGACCACTCGGACCAATTGATAGACCACTCGGACCATTTGATAGACCACTCGGACCAAACAAAAAGACTACTCAGACCATACAAAAAGACCACTCGGACCATACAAAAAGACCACTCGGACCAATAATAAAGTTTTGTTTTAATAAATTTTGTTTTAATATGACTACTAATAAATTGTTTTTTAAATAAAATGAAAATTATAAGTGTTATGTACTTACCCGTGGTATTTGATCATAATGAATCACATCAAAGAAGATTAATAAACACAACAACGATAAATGAGTAGTGGTTAAGACATTAGTATGTATTGATAAGGTACTCACCCATGTTACAAAGTAATAAAGTAGATGACGCACATGAAAGAAAATTGATTCATTTTTAATTGGTGTGATTGGAGTAAGGTCCAAGTGCTTCAATTGTATCATTTAAAATTAAACGATTTTAAAACCATTGTTGTTGGTGTAATAAATATGAATATGCTACTTACCTGTACCATATGTCACGGGCATATTAAAAATAAAAAATTATTTTATAAATTGTTGATGTAATAAATATGAATATTTGCTCTTATGTAAGGAAGGACATTTTTAAATTATGTATAGATACACCTATAAATTATTCGCTTTGTATTGTTATTTTTTAATAAATAATATTTAATTTAAAATCTGTATTTGATTTCTTAAGTGAATAATTGGATCGAGAAGCGATCCTTTGGGTTGGCTCAAGAGGCAACATAAATATTGGTCCGAGTGGTCTTCCAACATAAATTGATTGGTCCGAGAGGCAAGTATTGGTCCGAGTGGTCTTCCAACATAAATTGATTGGTCCGAGAGGCAAATATTGGTCCGAGTGGTCTTCCAACATAAATTGATAGGTCCGAGAGGCAACATAAATATTGTTCCGGGTGGTCTTTTAGGTTGGTCCGAGTGGTCTCCGTTTTGGTCCGAGTGGTCTTTGGCGCGGGTACCGCCCGAGAATCCCTATTTGGCCAATGCTGGATTGGCTTCTGATAGAATACTGGTAGCCTACATTAGTCATATTTCTACTTGCTTTTACTAAGTTTTTTAATCATTTATCGAGATTACAGGCCCTGCAACCTACTTATTTGATAATCCAGATCCAGATGAGCATCAAGAGTTTCTAAATGAGTTGTTTAATGCACTTGAAATGGTCATAATTATAACTTAATGAATGCAACATGTCCAATTATGATAAATCAAACTTTTCCAATTATAACTGGGGTAAACTGAGATAAATCTTGTTATATTGTTGAACAATCAAATACATTTGGAGGTATTTTGTATAGCGGGTTGGACCCACAGCCAGTGGCACCAACTCTGTTGAGATGAGGAATTGGTGTAACTTAAAAAATTTAAATTCCTTTTTATTTTAGATAGCAGCTAAAATAAATCAACCTGGTGCTGGTGACGCTCAGCCACAAGGAATAAAGCGACCCTTTGAGGATGGTCCAGGGTTTGGTAATTATTTACTTATTGAAATTCTCAGCCACTGACCTTGTTGGTTATTTAAAAATTAACAAAAAAAAAAAAAAAAAAAAAATATGCAGCAAGCTTGTATCTTCATTTAGACACTGTCATATGTGTTGATATACAAAATTTATGTGAAGCTTTTAATTTATTTTTGTAGAAAAAGGTAAGGTAAATTTTTCTTCTAGATGTGAAGTTAAGTGTGTTCTATTCATACATACATAGTGACTCCATTTCATTATTGTGCGTGCAGTGTTTTTTTTTTTTTTTTGGCTTGTCTTACCTCCCTTAGAAATATGGATTGAGTCAGTGGTTTTCCTATTTTCTGTAGAACACGCATTGTGTTTATACTTCCCACTTTGACGCTTTTATCTCATGCAGCCCTGTAAACCTGGTTGGCTAAGGAGATCAGCCCAAAACTCTTCCTTTTCTTTCTGTTTGCAGGTGAGCCAGATACAAAGAAATCGACCGCTGCACTAAACGATCGTGAGTGAATTTCTAAATTGTTCCCTACAAGCATAGTGCACACGTAATCATTGGCAAACACTTCTTCATATTTGAAACCAAATTCTATCTACCACTGCCTCATTACCATTCTGTGACAATTGTCTACTATACCCTATACATATTGTTTTCTAGTCCACCTTGCCCTGCAGTATTAATCATGTTTGTTTCCTCTATAATGTTTTTTTTCTACTAGAAGTGTTGTATTTGATTGTGCACTTTGTCTTTTAATGGACCCAACTGACACTATATTTAATGCTTATTTTTTTCAGCAATTGGAGCTCAATTAAGAGCTATTCAAGACCAACAGAGGTAAATATTATAGACACCACTGTTAATAAATCTAAAAAATACAGTGAAATTTTCCTTAAAAATTCATTACTTTCCAAAATTTGTTTTTCCATTATTTGTATGTTTTTGTGAAAATAGCCCATAGATGTAGTAATGTAAAAGCTTGCTAGGGTCGCCACTGTTACTATTTTTATCAATGAAAAAAAAATGATCGTAAAATGTCTTTGTTCTGCGACTTCGGGAAGTTGTATGAACACCAATATCAACGACTTTGTGCTTCTTGTGTTCAGACGAAAACAGAGTTTATGTCGAGCGTGGTTTGGGCATTTAGAAAAACATTTACGACTTATTTCTTAATTTTGAAAAAATAAAATTATCAGGAAAAGGCAAAAACGGCACTATTCACTGAAAGTAAACATATTTTCTCATAGAAAGACCCCTATATCTAAGGAAATAATTTATATAGCCCAAATTCAAAAATTGCAACAAATAGTTAATGGTTGGATGTATGTTTCCTGAAAATTTGATGCCTATATCTTCAATGGTTGCTGAGAAATTGTCTTCGGTCACTTTTTTTGCAAATTTAAAAAAAAAGTGTATACTGACATCGATCAATTTTGGGTCATAAAGTGCAATAACATTCTTATTTCCTAATCGATTTTGAAATTTTTTTTGTTTCTTAAATGGGAGAGGGGTTGGAAAAATAGTAAATATTCAATTTTAGTCAGATTTAAAAAAAAGCTTTTGCTTTGCTAATATATGGATCTTTACCACATGAGCAATTTGTAAGAAATATGTATTACATTAAGACTTATATTTTTAGGGGAAGTTCAGCTGCACAGGCTGCGCAGGAGGCAGCAGCTAGAATAAATCAGCAACTAGGAGTGGGACCAGCAACTGCTCCCCCTGTAATTGGAAACCCGTCTCCTCACGCACAACTTGGCGCAGTCATGGAAGAAACTTACATGGTACCCGACAAGATGGTTGGGTTAGGTAAGTACGATAGTTTCGGACATTTTGTGTCCTGCACCTTTCAAGGAAGTTCCGGACTGTTAAAATGGGTTCGTCTGTGGGTTCATCTGTTTGTCAAACTAACACATCAACTCAGCTTCAGTTAAAGGTATAATGTTTAAACTGGTATGGTGTTCATTAAGTGAATGTCTTTAAAGAGTTTGATAAGTATCCTTAATTTGATTTGTTGATATTTTGGAACACAGCTTTCATTCTTATTTGTGAATAGTTTCATTACATCAATATCATAGCTAAGCTTCTACAATGAGTGATTTCTGTTCCAATAATGCAGAGTATAAAGTTGTTAGTCCTGTTGATATACCAGTCTGATTAAAACACAGATCATATTTCGTTTCGTTTTTTATAGTTCAAAATTTCTATACTTGTCTCCACAACACTAGGACCCGGAAGAGTTATTTAACAGGCGTTCTAGCTGATGTGAGGAATTAGCCAATGAAACCATCTGTTACAGCGAGTTCTTGGCATGCTCTGCACGAAACTGTGGGTAAACCACTAGAAATGTAAATGCTGATTGATTATTCAATGTCTGAAGTCATAGGTGAAAAGCCGATTGTATGACCCCCCTGACGCCACCTCCCAATACAGCTAGTCAGATCTTCATGTAGTAGAGGCCATCGAAAGTATAAAAAAAAAACAGAAACGAAATATAGGTCTTGTTTATGTACAGATCATACACCAATACGTTCAAGCTATGTCAATTCAAGGCTTGCAAGCATAATATTTTTACAGAAAGACAATGAAACTTATTGATGTCTTAGAATATTAAGAGGCCGTTCATCTTGATACCATAATAATAGACATTTAAAAACGATAGGTACTGTTTGAGTTTGATTTAAAAAAAACGGTTTAAAATTGTATTTTTGAAAATTCAGCAAAGTCTGAGTATAATTTGGACATAAATCTTGATGTCTTGTATTGTCTTGCCATATTGACAAAACGTTGCAAAGATGTGTTTGCTCATACTTTATAGATGTGCAAGTAATTATTGAGTGTCATCTATATATTTTGGGATTGGGGGGGAAAGGGGCATCATCCTCTCTGTTGGTATTGATATGCCTCTTCAATTAACAGTTATTGGTAAAGGTGGTGAACAAATCACACGATTACAGATGGAAACTGGTTGTAAAGTTCAGATAGCACCTGGTATGTTCAAACTTACATAGTTTTTATACATTTATTTACAGGTTTGCAATGTGCCCTTCTTCTGTGCATGACTGAGAAACAAATCTTGAAAGATTGAACTTTGAAGTGATAACAAAAGAATGATTCTTATGAACTATAGATATACAATGTTCTTTGACAAAAGTGTATTAAAATTATTCAGTGTTTACTTGATTATTTATAGATAGTGGTGGTTTACCTGATCGAGCTTGTAGACTTACTGGTACACCTCAAGCCATTGCGTAAGTAGAAAGTTGCTCAATGAATCATGATTCTTGATTTTCCAAGCTGTGGTCTTGAGTATATTGTTATATTCAAATGACCCTGGGTATTTTTTTTTTTTGTGTAATGTTTTCTTGATATCGGTAGCTTAATTTATTAAATACAATACAAACTTGTGAAAGAAATTGCCAGTTACCCAAATTATTTTATTTCTAGGGGTTAAAGTAGCTGTAATTTAGCATGCTTTGTATATTTCAGGCAATGTAAACAAGTTATAAATGGTATAATAGATAGAGCACAGAATAATAACATGGATCCTATGAATATTGGTGAAGGACAGACAGTAATTGAAATGTTTATTCCGGGAAATAAAGTTGGTTTAATTATAGGAAAAGGTGGAGAAACTATCCGAAATTTACAGGTAATTTGTTAAGTATACTTTGGAAATTTTGTTTTTCACTCTAGAAAAGAATTAAGATGTAGTAAAAGTTCCAGGTGTTTGTATGATTAAGCAACGATATATGCAGGGTGCCATAGTTTAATATTGATTTTATGAAGATATTGGCACAGAATCCACATTCAAAGATTGATATCTGCGAGTGTTTCTTTATGTGCAAGATAAAAGTTCAAGGAATTCGCTAACACCATTTACTATAAATGGAGTTTGATAGTAGACCTTGTTACAAAAGACGGATCAAAAAGAAAAAGTATGTGATGTTCATCCTAAGTAAAGTAAATTTAATTTTAAGCTTTTGTAGAGTTTGTTGGTCTGATTAAATTTGTTACTATAGCCGTTAAGATTACTGCCGTAAACTGCACAAGCTTAGGACTCTCATAACTTGTGTCGTGTACACCTAATTTCGAATGATAACATGGCAAACAGCATTTTGAACAGGATTATTTCCTCAAACCTACTTTATCTTAAGAAAATATTATTGTATATTTGCAGGAACAAAATGGTGTTAAAATGGTTATGATCCAAGACAGTAATGCACCTACATCACAGGAAAAACCTCTAAGAATAAGCGGACCAATGGACAAATGTCAGGTTAGTCTTGTAAAAAAAAAATTTATACGGCCCCACCCACATTTTCATGTGGACGTATTATGCCGTTGCCCTTGTCTGAACGTCCTCAGTTTGTTTGTGGGAACTCTACAGGTCTCAATTTTTATCCGATTTTGATGAAACTTGAAATATAGGTCTATCTTCCAAAGATCTCGGTTCCTTTTGATAATGGCATGTATCACACTACAACTTCATGGAATATGGTCAGCATTTTTAGCTTGTGGACACTCTAGAGATCAGTTTTCATCTGATCATAACTTCCTGAGTTATGGTCCCTGATTTTATGAAAAGGTCACAATTATTATACGATTTAAAAAAATGTTTGAAAACACCACCGTGAAATTTCGTGAAAATCGGACTAAAATTCCTGAAGAAAATGGCGGCTCTTTGTACGCAAATAGTACGCCATCCAATTTTGATAAAACATGTTTATAACTCAAAGATTTTGGTTCCTTTCGATATTCACGCATAATGGATCGTAACCTCCTGAATTATGGCCCTTGATTGATTACACCCTGATGATGGTTATGTTCGAATTTTCTGAAAATCGGTCCAAAACTGCTTGACAAAATGGCCTCCCCCTCATATGCAAATGGTGTAAATTTATGTTTCCATCACAAAGATCTTGGTTCGCGCATATCCGAATGTAACTTCCAGGATCATGGCCCTTGATGGTTCGTAAAATCACATTTTTAGAGCTCGTGGAACAGGCTAGAAGTCACAATTGGTATTCAATTTTAAAAAGAGTTTAAATATATCATTGTTACACATGAATGAAGGTTGAGTTCGAATTTCAGAAAATCGAAACAGAACTGCCTGTCAGAATGTAATACGAAAGTTATGGACCCTCTAGAGATCCGATTTTGATGAAACTTAAAATATATATTGATATCCCACAGATTGTATATTAGATGTGATCAAGGGGATACTCTGTGATAAGAACAGTAGTTCGGTGACCACTTTATGATTTTTGGAATTGAACAAAACATTTTCTATATCATTGATAGGGTTTGCTCTGTGACATTGACATGTAGTAACATAATAAATTTCATCTCTCTAAATGTATCGGTACTATGATTTACACAAATAATGACATCTTTGATGTGGGTCAAATTTGAAAATACTGTCATTTTATACTACTGAAAAACTAAGTTCCCATGTATACATTGGCTTGCAAGTAAAAGAACCCTTGACGGTTGGAATTCGCTATAGAGTGGTCCTAGGCAAAATTTCCCTCATAGCACACTGCATTGCAAATGCCCGTCGCCATTAGCTGAGTAGGACGTTAAACCCCATTTCATTTTATATTGTCTATTAAATGTTTTATTTATAGTTTGAAGAGGATAACTTAGTAGTTCCATATTCCCTCTTGTCTCTATTAAAACACAATCGCACTACTTATCTCCTGTAATATCTTCATTTCAGAAAGCGAAAGAAACTATTATACAGTTATTGGCAGATAAAGACATGGATGGAGTAAGTTATTTTTGATTAATATTTGATTAAAGTTTATAAATGGATACTCTAGTAATGTAACAGTGTAACAACCTGTGTAAGCAAAAAAATGGGTCAGACTGCAATTAGCAAGCAAGACATATCAACATAAAGTTTGTTCGTCACTAATGAATATATTTATTTTGATCACATATAAAAGAGCCGTTGGCTTAAAATCTAAATAATTGATTGATTTTTATATCTTGTAGCCTGGTGGTTTTGGTGATTTTGGATCTGGCGGCGGCGGAGGAGGTGGTGGTGGTGGAATGGGTAGAGGTGTTGAGGTAAGTTGATAATAAAACAACGCATAGTAAAACTAATCCAGACTGTTAACTTTATACACATGGAGCTACTGATTTAAGTTAGTTCTGTTGCTAGGCTGGCAAAAACCCTATTGAAAGCATGTACAACTTCAAACCAGACCCACCAAATTCAGTGAACATTTCTTTTATTCTTGACATTCAAGCTGCCAAATAGTTCCCTCCATAAAGATACTACAGTAAATCTATTTTATGTTTGTTACAGATGCCAGTACCCAGAGAAGCTGTAGGTTTAGTTATTGGTAAAGGTGGGGAAATGATTAAGAAAATTCAACAAGACACAGGTGCTAAAGTTCAGTTTCGACCAGGTAAGTTTAATTTTAGTCTATTAAATAGGTGTTGGCACAGAATCCACATTCAAAGATTAATGTCTGCGAGTGTTTCTTTATGTGCCAGATTCAAGTTCAAGGAATTCGCTAACACCATTTACTATAAATGGAGTTTGATAGTAGACCTTGTTACAGATGATATAAACTGTAAATGTTAATTGTAAAATACACTATTAATCTTAATTTCAAGTAATATTGCGATTGTAGTAGCATTTGTATGATACAGAGAATTCCACTACAGATACCACTTGCTGATTGGACAAGGATTGGTGTGTGGTGTTTTGATAAGACTACATTTAGTATTGAAAGTATTTAGTTGTTTTGAGCTAGAAATTCTGATCCCATGCATTGAAAACATAACCGTAGAAAATGTCCAACAATAATTTTCACGACTGAAGTACTGTTGATATCCCTGTAATACTTATAGTATTGTTTATATTATAGATGATGGACAAACACCAGAAAGAATATGTTCTATATCTGGTCCTCCAGAAAAGGTTCAACCAGCAGTACAGTTTATAAATGAATTACTAGAGAATGCTCAGGTTAGTACTCGTTGTCTAGCACATGAAGATAAAACATAAAAGTACACCAGATTGCTCTATAGTCCAATCTGATATAGTTGAGGAATGTGGTGAATTTATCCAAAAATAAACTAATATAGTTTGTCAACATAATGAGTTTTTATATTGCACACATTCCATCAAAGTTAATGCTCCAGATCAATTTAGACCTCCACTAAAAATACACAGTTGATGTTGAGAAACGTGTTTGAGTTTTTAACTACCCATTCAATTAAGTAATGTAACGACAGCATAATTTAATTTTGAATACAAACTGAATATTTCCTCATGGTATTTTATTTCAGATGGGCCGAGGTGGTGGAGGAGTATTTGGTGGAGGTGGACGCGGTGGTGGAAGAGGTGGTGGTGGTGGACGTGGCGGAGGACGAGGAGGTTTTAATGGAGCAGGAAGAGGTCGAGGATTTGATAACTATGATAATTTTGATGAAACTACCTTCCCTGTACCTGCTGATAAGTGCGGTCTAGTCATTGGTAAAGGTAAGTGTAGAAGGCTTGTACTGCTGTGACAGAAAGTTCAAAATTGTCCTCTTAAATCCCAGTAATATAAAGTCTTCCCATAGGTTTTCAAAGAGCATTTGCTGTCAACCAAAATAGAACAAAATGTCACCAGTCTTCATTAGCCGAGTGCGGAGCAGAACAGTAGAACGTTAACCCCCATTTCATTTACAAAATGTCACTTTATGGTTATCAATATTTCGCGAATCCATTGATGCCTCATCATTTATTTATGAAGTTCACATACCGAATCTTCTGAAATTACAAGAGTTTATTTTATACTTAGTCACAACCGAAGACCTATAATCTAGGCAAGTTTTGTTGAGGAATTTGTTTGATTGATTAATCAAATTTATATTGTAGGAGGTGAAACAATCCGAGAAATAAACAAAATGTCTGGTGCTCATGTAGAATTAGATAGAAATCCACCTCCCAATCCTATGGAAAAAATCTTTATTATTCGAGGTAGTCCACAACAAATAGATCATGCAGTGCAAATGATTAGTGAAAAGGCTGGCATTCAGGTAATTAACTTAATATTGATAAAAACTTATGACTTTCAATAAATCATTTTCAAAGAACATTGTTAAAAAGATGCCAATATGTATTTAACAGTGATGTGAAATTAATCAAAGGGGTGAATATTCATCCAGGAAGAAAGTGGACATGGCCAAATTCTGAAAACATTTAGCAAGAATATGTACTCGCCTTAAAAAAAATGTTAGGTATATTTCTTGACTGTTATCCTTCAGAGCAGTGATCTTTATTTTTTACCTACCAACATCTATTTATTTTTGTACCTTTCTAAGAAATAGATGCAAGAAGAATGTGCACACAAAAGATACACATTTGCATTTTTACTTGGAAGTGAACTTTGGAAAATCTATAGCTACAAAAACATGTATGGTGAGGTGTTCAATCTTTACATTTTGTTTCAGGGTGGACCTGGACCAATGGGTGGAACTCCTGGAGGAGGACCAGGACCTGGAGGTCCTAATCAAGGTGGCCCTCAAGGCCCAGGTGGTTTTGAGCAGTACGGTGGTCAATATGGTCAACAAAAGTAAGTCACTCTTGTTCATATATATACAGGAAGAACATTAAATACAAGATGAACACAACTATACCAGTTGACAAAGTACAAACCT